ATACCAGCTTGCATTAAAGTGAATTATCGAGTTAAGAATGGCTTAAAAATTCTGCAGATATGAATAAAATCGACAACACAAAGCAAGTACGGCATGGAATTTTACTACTGAAATGTTTACACTTACCCAAATCGGCACAACAACGATTAAATTATCAAAGGACAAAGATATCAACATCAAAACAATTATTATACAAACTTTGTTTCACGGTTGAACAGCCACTAATTCATGAAATTGCGGGCTTATTTCCATTTAAAACCGAGAAACAAAAACGTGTTGTACTTTTGTAAACTTTTTAACAAAATGTAAAGCAAAATGAAAAACAATTACTTCGACAGAGCTTGCACTCGAAACGTAATAAATAACGTCGAATAACGTCGAAAACCGTCCATGACATAAACAAAATGGAGGACAACTTTGCACTCCGCTATATTTTCACATACCTGGGTATAATTAGCCGTGCAGAATTAGTACCCTCGCACGGCGCTTCGCGCCGCCGGCTCGGGGATTATGAACCCATTGAAAAGGGTCCTAGCTCAAAAACCTGTCGTCCCCCCCCCCACACACACACGTACATCGTCCCACCGTCCCTGCAAAAAATCTGATATTGTTTATTCAATTTTCAGCGGCATTATCTCTTTGCCTATTTCTAGCAAAAATTGCGAGGATTAACTGAGCTGCTGAACATTGACTATCTCACGAGAGAAACAAACCTTAATGCATTTCACACGACCCCGAGATGCAGCTTTGTGCAATGGTGTATCACTCTCATAGTCCACCGTGTTCACATTGGCACCATGGTTAAGCAACAGTTGTAAGATATCAACATGACCTTGAGATGCAGCTTCGTGCAATGGTGTAGCACCCTCATAGTCCACCGTGTTCACACTGGCACCATGGTTAAGCAACAGTTGTAAGATATCAACATGACCTTGAGATGCAGCTTCGTGCAATGGTGTAGCACCCTCATAGTCCACCGTGTTCACACTGGCACCATGGTTAAGCAACAGTTGTAAGATATCAACATGACCTTGAGATGCAGCTTCGTGCAATGGTGTAGCACCCTCATAGTCCACCGTGTTCACACTGGCACCATGGTTAAGCAACAGTTGTAAGATATCAACATGACCTTGAGATGCAGCTTCGTGCAATGGTGTAGCACCCTCATAGTCCACCGTGTTCACACTGGCACCATGGTTAAGCAACAGTTGTAAGATATCAACATGACCTTGAGATGCAGCTTCGTGCAATGGTGTAGCACCCTCATAGTCCACCGTGTTCACACTGGCACCATGGTTAAGCAACAGTTGTAAGATATCAACATGACCTTGAGATGCAGCTTCGTGCAATGGTGTAGCACCCTCATAGTCCACCGTGTTCACACTGGCACCATGGTTAAGCAACAGTTGTAAGATATCAACATGACCTTGAGATGCAGCTTCGTGCAATGGTGTAGCACCCTCATAGTCCACCGTGTTCACACTGGCACCATGGTTAAGCAACAGTTGTAAGATATCAACATGACCTTGAGATGCAGCTTCGTGCAATGGTGTAGCACCCTCATAGTCCACCGTGTTCACACTGGCACCATGGTTAAGCAACAGTTGTAAGATATCAACATGACCGTGAGATGCAGCTTTGTGCAATGGTGTATGACCCCAAAAGTCCACCGTGTTCACACTGGCACCATGGTTAAGCAACAGTTGTAAGATATCAACATGACCTTCAAATGCAACTTTGTGTAATGGTGTATCACCCTCATTGTCCACCGTGTTCACACTGGCACCATGGTTAAGCAACAGTTGTAAGATATCAACATGACCGTGAGATGCAGCTTTGTGCAATGGTGTATGACCCCAAAAGTCCACCGTGTTCACACTGGCACCATGGTTAAGCAACAGTTGTAAGATATCAACATGACCTTCAAATGCAACTTTGTGTAATGGTGTATCACCCTCATTGTCCACCGTGTTCACACTGGCACCATGGTTAAGCAACAGTTGTAAGATATCAACATGACCGTGAGATGCAGCTTTGTGCAATGGTGTATGACCCCAAAAGTCCACCGTGTTCACACTGGCACCATGGTTAAGCAACAGTTGTAAGATATCAACATGACCTTCAAATGCAACTTTGTGTAATGGTGTATCACCCTCATTGTCCACCGTGTTCACACTGGCACCATGGTTAAGCAACAGTTGTAAGATATCAACATGACCGTGAGATGCAGCTTTGTGCAATGGTGTATGACCCCAAAAGTCCACCGTGTTCACACTGGCACCATGGTTAAGCAACAGTTGTAAGATATCAACATGACCTTCAGATGCAGCTTTGTGCAATGGTGTATCACCCATGTTGTTCACCGCGTTCACACTGGCACCATGGTTAAGCAACAGTTGTAAGATATCAACATGACCCCGAGATGCAGCGTAGTACAATGGTGTAGCACCATTCTTGTTCACCGTGTTCACACTGGCACCAAGGTTAAGCAACAGTTGTAAGATATCAACACGACCGTTATATGCAGCGTAGAGCAATGGTGTATGACCATAATTGTCCACCGCGTTCACACTGGCACCATGGTTAAGCAACAGTTGTAAGATATCAACATGACCCCGAGATGCAGCGTAGTGCAATGGTGTAGGACCCTTATAGTCCACCGTGTTCACACTGGCACCATGGTTAAGCAACAGTTGTAAGATATCAACATGACCGCGATATGCAGCGTCGTGCAATGGTGTATCACCCATGTTGTTCACCGTGTTCACACTGGCACCATGGTTAAGCAACAGTTGTAAGATATCAACATGACCGCGAGATGCAGCTTTGTGCAATGGTGTATCACCCCAAAAGTCCACCGTGTTCACACTGGCACCATGGTTAAGCAACAGTTGTAAGATATCAACATGACCGCGATATGCAGCGTAGTGCAATGGAGTGTTGCGCAAGAGACCGCCACGTTGATTCAACCTGTTGATGATATCCGAGTCTTTTTGCAAGATCTCTTGTACTTTGTGAAGTTCCCCTCTTTCACATGCATCGAGCAGACTTTCATCTTGTCTTGTTGACATTCCTTGGTTTAAACCTCGCTAGAATTTACCATCATATAGTTACATTTGCAGAAGCATCCTCTGAAAAGTTCCTACATAAACAGAGCTAGTAATAAGTAGGGATGTGCCAGAGCCAGATACCGGTATCCGGCAAAATATAGGCATCCGTCACCATATAGTAAAATAGACTTTTATCACAGCCCCAGACATCTGTTATAAAATTAATACACTTTGAATAAATTAGTTCGTTTTTATAATTTGTTTAAAATAATAAAAACCTGGTTTCCTGGGCTAACATTTCAGGCCGGCCTAAGGATAAAATCCTATTCAAACACAGGAAGCGATTTATACACGACAAAAATTTCAGCCCAGGATCAGTTTTAGCCCTGTTTCAGTCCTTTTATGAGTAGCTTTATTTTTGTCTGTACTATTTCTAATGCAGTCACAGTTTCTCACAAGTCAAATAATGTAAATAATCGATTAAGCGCCTCGGCACTTATTTAGATTCTGCCAGTTAAGGTCCATGTACACACCAGACGCGATTCGACAACGCGACGCGATTTTTCAGTTTTTGAAAGTTAATAAAACAGCCAATGAGAGCAAATTTTGAAAGATATGTAAAACAAATAACTGAAATTATTATTTATTTAAAAAATTCCTGGTTTCTGATTGGCTAACAGCCAACTGTGAAATTGTCATATCAACTCAATGGCTAACCAAATCTGGATTTTTCACATTCATAATAGCAAAATGACGTCAAAGAGTCAATATGAAAAAAATTTGGACGCGTTTGCGCCATATTACTATGACGACGAGAATCATATTGACTCGCTGAC